ATTAGGTGCCTCGGCTGATATTCGGGTTGGCATATACATTGCATATGCGAGTATATACGGTACTTTGCTTAACAGTTGACTTGTTCAACTAAGGTTAACTGTCATAACTTGGAAAATGAACTTACCCTCAGTTTTCTTTGGGTCATAGCAGTTTCTAGGGCCATTTCTCTTAAGGGATCCCTGGTGATGTCAAGCATAGATGCTTTGATCGTGTCTCCTGGGAACAGACTCAGCCGAGACTGTCTAAGGGCCATTCTGGCTTGCAGCTGTATCATTTCTTCTTCTTGCCGCTTCAGCATGATCTCCTGATTGAGTAAGCTGCCTTCTAGGGGTGTTTCATACTGTCTACCAAAAGGAAAAGAGAAGAAAAGTAAGTTTTGGGAAGAAACCAATTATTGTAAGGGTAATTAGGAAGCCACAGTATTAAAGTATCAAGCATTTAAACACTTCTTTCAGGAGACACCTTCTCTTACACAGCAACATAAGCCCTACTTAGAATGTACTGCTGCAGCGTGCTTTTATGTTTTCAGTGGGCACACTCTGTCAATACAGCACTAGTTTTAAATAGGGGCTGTTTTCTTTCACTCTTTTCTTTCACTCCCAGCCTGCAGGGGAGATGGAGCTTCTCCATTTTCACATCATTGTTAACTCCACTTCCAGGAATCCCCAGCTCCTCAGAAGGACATGTTGTGAAATCATACCAACCAGTACTTGACTTTTTTGTAGAAATTGATGATTCTTTGGTTACTTGCCCTTCTTTATTCATTACAGATTTAAATGCCTCTCAGTCTTTTTCTCCACCATTACTTCTGTTCTTGGTGGTGACATATAAATGGGAAATTCTTCCAGCACTGTGGCCTCCACCCATTGCCATGGTCATATTGGTTACTAACAACTGTGCTGCTGCTATTAGGTGCCATGGAGGAAGCTTCATCTCATGCTTCCAAGACTCTCTATATAATCTTCCCAGTTTTTCTACAGCTCACTTCCTCTAGTAGCCCCACTGAAATAATTTACTAACCTTTGTTTTATTTGCCATAGAGTCAACTCTGACTCAGGGCAACCTCATATGTGTACAGGTGTAACTGCTCCCCAGGGCTCAAGGCTGCGACCTTTGGGAAGCAGATTACCAGTCCTGTCTTGCTAAGAGTGTAGGCAAGGGTTCTACTGGTCAATCTTTCAGCTTGTATTTGCATACAAATACATATCTCCCAGGAGCTCCATCAACCCGTATCAGAACTTTAATCTGCTGACACTAATCATTTCTCTCTTCTAGCCTTCCTTATATTACTTGGATTCAAAATTCCGTCATTGAAATGATTCCCGTGCACAGAACAGGATTCACAATGAAACCCTCCTTGTATAACCTGAACGCTTCTCAAACTGTAGACTTGTGTTGACTGATCTTAATGGGCCTTCACCTCTACCTGGCAACTTGGATTTTTGTTTTTTGAGATAACTATGCTATATCTTCTTACTCTTCCTTTATTTTCAAATTTCTAATTCTCTCTGTCTGACAACTAATGACTTTGCTCTAATTTGGGGTAGCGGGCGCAGGGGGGAGAGAAATTGAATGAGAAAATAATTTCCTCATCCTTCCATGACTGCATTTTCTAAACCTGTACCTGTGACTTCTGTCTTCAGTCCAGTTACAACAGAGGGATTTCCTGTACTCCTGTAAGGCCCCGATCTTTACTTGTACATGGGATTCCATCTCTCTTCTTTACTCAATCTGCTCCTCTAATTATCCTTTCCTCCACACCAATAATCTAGTCTACTAGGTTATTTTCACTAGCACCTGAACATATTGTAGTATTTCCTACCTGATAAATAAGTCTTTCTTTGTTCCACACTTCCCCCTTCTTCGTCACCCTTCTCCATCATTGTTCGGCTGCCTGCTGGAATAACGCTCCTAAAATTAGGTGTCAAACTTGATCTTCATTTCATCTCCCTCTCTCTACTGAACTCTGGTCACTATGTCTCATCTTCAACATTCAACCAAAGCAGTCTCTGAATGCTGTAAAGACTTAATGCACT